CGATAATGGTCTACTTTCATTCTTTTGCATATGGCTGTCCAGTTTTCCCAACACAACTTATTGAAGAGACTTTCCCTTCTCCATTGTCGAATGGCTCCTTGTCGAAAATCAGCCATTCATACATGTGTAGGTTTATTTATGGACTCTCAATTCTGTTCCATTGATCAGTTTTTTTGTGCCAGTATCATGCTGTTTTGGTTACTATAGCTTTGTAGTATATTTTGGAATCAAGGAGTATGATACCGCCAGCTTCGTTCTTTTTTCTCAGGATTCCTTGGGCTATTCAGGGTCTTTTGTAGTTCCATATAAATTTTAGGATTCTTTGTTCTGTTTCAGTGAAAAATGTTGTTGGAACTTTAATAGGGATTGTATTGAATCTGTAGATTGCTTTGGGAAGTTTGGGCAGTTTTAACTGTTAATTCCTCCAATCCAAGAGCATGGAATATCTTTCCATTTCTTTGTGTCTTCTTCAATTTCTTTCAACAATGTTTTATAATTTTCAATGTAGACATCATTCACCTCTTTGGTTAAGTTTATTCCTAGGTATTGTGTTTTTGTTGTGATTGTAAATGGGATTATATTCTTAATTCTCATTCTGCTACTTTGTTGTTAGTATATAGAAACGCAACTGATATTTGTATGTTGATTTTGTATCCTGCAACTTTACCATATTCATTTATTATTTCTAAAAGTTTTTTTGTGGATTCTTTAGTGTTTTCTCTATATAAAATCATGTCATCTGCAAATAGTGAGTTTCACTTCTTCCGTTCCAATTTGGATGCCTTTTTTTTCTTTTTCTTGCTATCCCTACTCTCTTTTGGTTACTATTTGCATGGGATATCTTTTTCTATCCTCTCACTTTCAGCCTTTGTGTGTCCTTACATCTAAATTGAGTTTCCTTTAGGTAGTGTATAGTTGGATCTTTTCTTAATCCATTCAGCTTCTCAATGTCTTTTGACTGGAGAATTTAATCCACTTACATTTTAAAGTAATTACTGATAGGAAGGACTTCCTATTACCATTTTGTTCATTTTCTGCACATCTTGTTGTTTTGTTCCTTTTTCTTCTCTTGCTGCCTTCTTTTGTGTCTCACTTTTTGTAGTGACTTACTTTGATTCCTTTCTAATTTTCTTTTGTGTACCCTCTATAGGTCTTTCTTCGTGGTTGCCATGTCCCTAGCACTTTTAAAGTATGATTACAAACTCGTGGATTTAAATGTTTGATATGTTTCAATCTATTGCAGTTATTACTCTAATTACCAAATTGTCTTATATTTGGCAAGTAGAAACCTCTTCAGGTTCCTGAATCCTTGAGACACAACCCAGTGATCTTTGATGGTTTTCTTCCTTTTGGTATGACAAGATGTCACCAACTTACCTTGTATGTTTCCTGCCCTATACCTGCAATCAGTCATTTCTCCTTTTTTTTTTAAGATTGGCACCTGAACTAACAGCTGTTGCCAATCTTTTTTTTTTCTTTTCTTCTTCTTCTCCCCAAAGCCCCCCAGTACATAGTTGTATACTCTAGTTGCACGTCCTTCTGACTGTGTTATGTGGGATGCCACCTCAGCGTGGCTTGATGAGCGGTGCTGTGTTGGCACCCAGGATTCAAACTGGCGAAACCCTGGGCCACTGAAGCAGAGTGTGCAAACTTAACCACTCAGCCACGAGGCCGGCACCGCCATCAGCCATTTCTCTAGGGAGCCATTCCCTGGGGTTTTTTGCTTATTGAAATCTCAGCTCTATCACTTACTAGCTTTATAGGGCAAGTTGCTTAGCTTCTATAAGGCTCAGTTTACTAATTTGTAATTTGTTATTAATACTGCCTACCTCGTGGGACCATTGTGAGGATTAAATAAGGTACATAAAATATTTAACCCAGCACCCGGTATATCATAGTACTCAATAAATGTTAGTTTGATAAATTACTTCTTAATAGAAGAAACATATGCCTTCTTGAATAATTTTTCCACTAAATATTTTGACTTCCTGTTTTAATTTTCATCAATTATCTTTAGGCCTGGTGAACAGCTATTATCTTGTGCTTCTGGAATAAATGAGTCTTACTATTTCTTTGATCTTGCATATTTTTCTCTTAGAATTCTGTCATTTGTTGGTTTGCTTGTTTTTCTTTTGTTTGTATTTGTTTTGTTAGAGTACTTTATTGAGGCATTTTTTTCAAAAAATGCGTGTAGGAAATAAAATTTCCCTCCTGATCGATCATTTACCTGGACATAGAATTTTAGGTTCAAAATGATTTTCTCACAGGACTTTGGAAGCATTGTTCCATTGCCCTCTAATATCTAATATAGTTGATGAGAATCTTGCTGCTAATCTGATGTTTATTCCTTTGCAAGAACTTGTTTTTCAGATTTATTTTTCTCTTTGTCTTTAAAGTTCTAAAATTTCATGAGGATTTATCTTGGGCTTTTGTTTTGTTTTGTTTGATCCTTGTTGGAATTCAATACCATCTTTAAATTTGGAGATTTGTCATTCTTAGTTGTAGAAATTGTTCATTTAATAATTTTCCTCCTCTATTTTGTTTTTTTTTTTTCTGGAATCTGGATATTCGTTGAACACTGGCCCTTCTGGATCTTCTATATCTTTTAACTTCACCCGCACATTTTCCATTTCGACTTTGTGCTTTATATTCTGAGCCAGTTCTTTACCTTTATGTATCAGTTCACTAATTTCTTCCTTACCTGGATATAGTCCATTCAGTCCCGATACAGATTTTTTTCCATTTCAACACTAATTCAAGGACTCTTTCTTGATCTCTGATTGCTCCTTTTTCATAGCATCCTGTTCTGATTTTTGTCAATAACCTGATATTAGTATCATTATTACAAAGCCAAAGAAAGCTAAGGAGATATCAGAATCCATTCACATATGGCCCTGGTCATGTGAACAAAAATATTGCCGGAAACCTTAATTCTGTCTTCAGCAATCTAATCTGCTGTTTAGTGCATCTATTTTTTCCCCTTCTTTTAAATTTAGTGTATTGAATATACGTAGCTGGTCAAAAGAATCATATAGGTCCACTTCCTGACCCAATTTCCAACTCCCAAGAACAACTGGGAGTAGTTTCAACCCATAGCTCCTTATTTTGGTATTCACTACCATATCTCAAAATCATGTGCTTATATTATTTCTTGATTTTTGTAACGTTAGACAATATCTGACTTCCCAACACAGAAGATGAGAATTTAGCTCTTTCACTACACACACACACACACACATTCTTGTTCCATTCTTCTAATATAGTTTACTGGTTTTTCTGATACGTATCCATGTAAGGGCCAATTTGTGCTTACAACTTCTCAAGGACTTACCTCACCACCCCCCAGCCCCCATATAGGGAATTGTGGAGATCTGGGATAGTCTAAGAGTACCTAATTTTCTCCCACTTAAGGATTATTTTTCTATTAAATATTATGAAATATATGTACAAAATTGTCTACTTAAACAGTCTACAATTGAGTTTAAGAAATAGAATACTGTGACAGATTGTTTTCCAAAAATGGCTGCAAAAAATTCTAGTTCCCTAAACTCTTCTAGAATTTTTTCACTCTCTCATCAAGAGGTGTAGTTTATTGTATCTCCCCGTGAGTTTTGGAGGCCTTTGTGTCTGCCTCAATGAATAAAGTGACATGGAAGGAATGCTGCTTGGTTTCTGACTGCTGTGGTCTGAATGTGTCCTCCCAAAATTCATGTTGAAATCCTAACTCCAAAAGGTGATAGTATTAATAGGTGGGGCCTTTGGGAAGTGCTTAAGTCATATGGGTAGAGGCTCATGAATGGGATTAGTGCCTTACAGAAGAGGCTCCAGAGGGATGCTTAGCCCCTTCCACAATGTGAGAACACTGAGATGTCAGCAGTCTGCAAACCAGAAGAGGGCCTTCACAAGAACCTGACCATGCTGGCACCCTGATCCTGGACTTCCAACATCCAGAACAGTGAAAAATAAAAGTATGTTGTCTTTAGCTACCCAGTCTGTGGTATTTTGTTATATTTGCTTGAACAGACTAAGACACTGAGGTTAGCTTAGAAAAGACTGTCTGGCTTCCTTCTACCTGGCGTCTCTCTCTCTCAACACTTGCTCCAGCAGCCACACAGAAATTACCCTTCATTTCTCACAAAATGAAGCCCATGTCTGTAGCTGAGTAGTTTTCTTAGCCTTCCTAAGAAGTTTGAAGAAGTCCAAAGAAGTGTGAAGGTCCAAAGGCCTTTTGATTGTGTGCTGTTCTATACCTTTTAATCCAAGATGATACAACTGTTTTAACTTCTCACAAAGTTTCTGATTTATCAAGTTATAATACAACTCTATTAGACAAAAGGTGCACCAACAAATCTGGTCAAGATAAGCCCTTCTTTACATTGGGTTTCTCTTGAAGCTGCTAATATATCTCCTTTCTCCCAAATGGCTGCAATGTTTCTGGTTCCACGTGCTTTTCCAGAAGTTTGCCACTTCTGCACAGACCTTTGTGACTTCTCTGATGAAGAGGAAGTCAGACAGAGGGAATAGGCATTCTGGTTTCAGCCTCACCTGAATTATCAACCGCCAGCCACATGCCTGATTCCAAAGATTCCAAAGCCCACCTTTGAGCTGACCCAGCTGTGGCTGCATGGAGCACACAAGCTGTCCCTGCCAAGCTCTGTCCTCATTGAAGATTCATGATCCTACGAAATGTGGTTTTAAACCACTAAGTTTTGGGGTAGTTCGTTACAAAGCAATAGAAAACTGGAACACTATTGATACTTTGGAAGCCTTTTCTATGTCCCTCCCTGTGTGCATCCTCCTCCTACTCTTCCAGAAGTACCTAGTATTCTAAATTTATTACTAATTCCCTTGCTTATTATAAGTCAGTTTTACCATTTATATAAGTACCTCCCAACAATCTATTATTTTTATTATTTATCTATTGTTTATTATTTATTGTTTGTTGAACCTATTTTCAACAAACAGGTTAAATCATACTCGTTCATACTTCTGGTTTTTCGTTTTTTTTTTTTTTTTTGCTGAGGATTATTCACCCTGAGCTAACATCCCTGCCAATATTCCCCTACTTTTTAGTATAGGGCCACCAGTACAGCATGGCTGCCAACAGAGCAGTGTAGGTCCACGCCTGGGAAGTGCACTTGGACTGCCAAAGTGGAACGTGCTGAACTTAACCACTAGGCCACTGGGGTTGGCCCTGGGCTTGCTTTTTTGATACATGATTTTTTGGGATTAATCTATGTTGGTATTCTATTCCTTTTTTTGGTGTTGCAGAATATTCCACTGGGTGACTATACTACAATTTACTTATCCATTCTCCTGTCAATGAGTATTGAACTGTTTTTCTGCTCTTACAATGCTGACATGAACATTTTTGTATGTCTCCTGGCACATGTGTAAGAGTTTCTCTAGGGTAAATAAGCAGGTACCTGCACATTGAACTTCACTATGTAAAGTAAAATTACTTTCTAGAGGTGGTTATGTCAACTGAGACTCTTACCATCAATGCACATCCTGGTGTTCCACATGCTCTACACTTGGTATCACCAGCCCTTTAAATTTTATCGTTCTGGTACATGTGTGTCTGCTTCCTAAAGAAACTTTCAACAAATCCCTATTTCCCCTTCCAGAGGAGATGCTGCCATATGAGTTAGCATCCTGGAGGATCTGTGGTACAAATCAGGTTGTTTCTTGGCTTTCCCCACTGCAGGCCAAGTCAGCCTTCTCAGGTCTGCTAAGATGATCACCACTAATCTATCTTCCAGCTTTCAAACTTTGGTGGCTATCATTTATTTCTCTCCCATTATTTTTGTCTTTGTCAGATAATGCCTTAAAAAAATCCTCTGGCTGTGTTTTAATGCAGTTGTAAGAAGGCATTAGAATTACACGCACGTGTTGAAGGCATAATCTTTCACCATGGAGTGATTTAAAAAATTTCAGTAAGGTTTTTATTTCTAAATGTTGTTTTGGCTTGTTTTAAAATCTGTTTGGTCATTTTTGTTGTCCTGTTTCTTCCTGTTTGATTTCATCTTTTTATCTTAAAACATATATACAGTTATGATGTAGCTAATATTGCCTTTCAGGGTCTATCTGTGTTGCTTATTTTGAACTCACTCAAGTGGCTTGTTTCCTTGTGAGTTTGGTATTTTGTGAGCTCTTATTTGGTTGGGCTTAATTTGTGACAATCTTGAGGTTCTATATTAGGGGTCAACGAACTATGCCCCAAGGGCCAAGTCCAGTCCATTGCCTGTTTTTGTAAATGTTTTATTGGATCACAGCCAGACACATTCATTTAAGTATTGTCTATGGCTGCTTTTGCACTACAATAGCTGAGTTGAGTAGTTACTAGGGGAACCACATGGGCTGCAAAGTAAAAAATACTCACTTTCTGGCCCTTTACAGAAAAGTGTACCGACTTCTGGTGTAAATTATGGATATTTTCTCCAGAGAAGATTTATATTTGCCTCTGCCAGGACCAGGGGAGACTCATGACCTGTAACAATCTTAGCCTTCTTTGAAAACTCATGCCAGACTTCCTGTGAACCCAGCAACAGATCAAAGGCCTTCAGAGTTATCTATGCCACTCTACTGCTAGAAGCAGCAAAACAGTATCTTTTCTTTGACTACACTGTTCTGATTTCAAGATGGTATGGATCTTTTTCATTTAAAGGGTGGAGATCCTTTCAACCTAGAGATGCATGTCCTTTTGTGGAACTTTTCTTGTATTATTCAATAATTTCCTTACCTCCTTAAGTCTTCTTTCTTTCTTAAACTCTTACTATTAAAATGTTAGACCTCCTGACTTGATTCTCCAATTTTGTCTTCTCATTTTCTATTTCTTTGTCTTTTGGTTATACTTTCAGGGCAAGTTCCTCAACAACTTTATCTTCCAACCCCTCTAATGAATTGCCGTAGCTATCATTTTTAATTTCCAGGGGCAGTTTCTTGCTCCAAATTTTCCTTTTCAAAGCATACTCTTCTCATTTAATATATACAACATCTACTCTCTTTCAAAATATTAATTATATTTGGGGTTGGATATTTTTCTGATCCCTGAATTGTATCTACCCGACCAATATCTCATCTCTTATGTATTAGATTTTCTTCAAATATCTGGTGATCCTCACTCTAAGTTCATATTTAATAGTAGGCATTAAAGAGCTGAATGGAAACCCCATGTATACATATATGACTTGGAAATTAGTGGGGTCCACTGAGAGTGATAAAGTGGCAAGCAGGCTTTTTATCAAGGTACACCAAAAGTGTCTGGAGATCTTTTCTCTGGGGCCAATTAGTTTCTCCAAAGGAAAAAATTCTGGCAGAGAAGCCTATACCTGATGGCCATCATTCTGGAAACACAGGGAACCCCCATTCAGAGTGCAGATTTTCACTTAAGCCATATTTTTAACCCTATACCTAATCCAGGCCTTCTGATATCCCTGGTATCCTTTAAGTCCTATACTCTTTCAGTTCCATTTCTCAAGAGAATTAACTTCTGGCCTCCTGCTCAAAAAAGTGTAAGGACAGAAAGTGATCACCTGGTTTAAGTAAGAGTAGAGAAAGATAATTCAATGATTCTATATAAGACTTGCAACCAATCCTTTTGTTTCAGTGTTCCAAGCACCATCTCTGAATATGAGCACCTGGTTCCTCAGGTATAAGCACATTTGGTGGATACTGCAAGGTATGCTGGCTTCTTTCTCACTGCATGGCCTTTTGCAAGCACTCAGATTAGAGGTTCCTTGGTTCTGGCTCTGCTAAGTCAGGCAGTCTTCTCTACCTGCACTTTTCTTTCTAAAAATGTGTTGAACTCTCTTATCTCTTGATAAGAGAGAAGATCAAGAGATAAGAGAGTTTTTCTTCTCTCCTGTTTTATTTGTCCTTGTGTGGTTATACTGTACTGTCATTTTACTGAGATTTCAGGAGAGTAAAAAATAAATTGTCCATCTGCAATATTTAGCTGCAAGTCTTTAAACTGAATTGCAAATAATCCTAAAATACTGGCCATGGAAATGTTTTCCACACTCTTCTCTTCCTGAAGTACTCTAATAAATCTTACCAGAGATTTCTTAATAATAGAACAAACAAACAGAGGGATGACTAAACACTGAACAAATAGGACTCTGAAATCAAATATATTGGCAAGAAACAGAAATTTGTAATGCAGGTCACATTTTAATATAGTTTTAAAAACACTTCCAAATATAACTACAAATTTAATTAGGAAAAATACCTGAAAGAAACATGTATCTTAATTAACCATCAGTACATTATTTTAAAGAATTATTTTCCTGAATCCTTGGCTTACTTCATTGGGTTTATAAAGGTATAAACCTACTGATTTTTCCATTTGAGTATTTTGTACTAAATGTAGTTTTTCCCAGGTGATAATTATATATAAACCTGCTGAACAAAAATCATGTTTTAAATAGGGAGAAAAGTTTCCCTTAATAAGTTGGTAAAGACTGTAAGTGATACTTTTAAACTTTTGATTTACTATAAAGTAGCAATTAGTAAAATCCATACCCCTCCCCAAAAAATTCAGCTTCTATTGCAAAAATCTTCATAAAAAATGTACTCTGAGTGCAATAAAATCTCCATATTTGTTTTTCTTTAAAAAAAAAAAATCAACAAATAGACATACCAAAATAATTCATCAGAAATCAGAGCAAAGAAATATTTAACAGTATCAGGTTTGCTAAGGAAAACATTACTGTGGAAGACATCCAAGGAGTCTAAAATGCTTTTGCTGTGGCAATAACAAGGCTTCAGGCTGATGCTCCTACTCTTGTTAAAAGAGCTCTCCCCAATTTACAGTGAAAAATCAGTGCATATTCGTTTACACGTGAAAAAACAAATTTTTACAAACTATAAATCTGCTTTAAAATAATTATTTAACTCACCTTGAAAACACAGATTGAATATGATAAATCCATTATTTAACAAATTGGGTATTTGTAATGACCTAAAACCTAGCTAAAACCCATGGAAGGTTCAGGAAGTTATAATGCAGGTCAGAAGAGAGGGAGAGAGGTCAGATGCTTTCTGTGGAATGGAAGAGCAACAATTTTAATGCTATTTTGAAATACTGAAACATTCTGGGCTGAATCAGTCTCTACTACTTTTAAAACACAGCAGTAAACCAAAAATATTAAAACACAAACCCTCTCTTATTCTCAAAAACAATTTTCTGCTACATACATAAATAAAAAGTGCTTGTAACTAATATACAACACTAAAGAAATCAACTCTTAAGATCACGAACAGCTGATGTCTCATTGCCAGCAATGAGACTAGTATATGCTAAGGGTGCCAGGATATTTACAAAAGACAAAAAATATATAGATTCAATTATTACTTCCCTAGTTCTAATGTTATCATTATACCATGGGGCATAAAATAATCCTCTCTTGACATGATAATTAAAACAAACATAGTATATTATGGAAGAGTAAAATGCAAGGAAATCCTTCTTAGGGATTTCTGATAATTAAGTGTTTGTACTAGTTCATTATAAAAGACATGAAGAGAACACAATTCTGGGGAAAAAACCGACTAATTTATTTGTTTTATAAAATAAAATATAACGAGAGATCTTAGTTTAGATAATCAAGAGGTGATGGCTTTAGGTGTCATCTTAACCAAGAATAAATTCATAGTATTTCTTATTTACTTAAATAAGACAGGAAAGGAAATTCTAATTCCTGCTACCTGCCCAGTCACTTCAAAAATTCTTCTTATGGAAGTTAAAATAAAAATACCTTTGTTTTTTGGTTACTCTTTAAAGTCAAAATTTCCAGGTGCCCTGGAAACAAAGAGTTCAATTTGGTGTCTTCTGTGTTCTGAAAAAGAACAGTAAGTTTACACTGAGATCTCAGCTTTCAAATGCTGTGACCAATTATTTGTGAGTTATAATCTGCAGGTTCCATTTTTAAAATATGTGGGATGACACTGTCAATTCGTACATTGCCAATGAGACCTTTGAAAAACAATTCTTCAGTGATGGTAGCATTCATCAGTCTCAAAGCTGGCAATCTGAGTAGTAGTCTGGACAACCTAAAAAGTAAAAAAGGGGCAGAGGGGAACAGGTTGTAAATCAAAGAGAGATTTAGTAGGAAAATATGAGTAATTTCTACACGTATATTCTTTGTGGCCTAATTAAGTAAAGATCTAATTTTCAAAAGTTAAAATGAAAACTTTAGTATTCTCAAGCCTTAGAGTGTTATGACAATCACTTGGATATAAATGCAGTCTGACAGACTTCATAGGAAAGCCTTGCTCTTAACTGCTACGCTGTGCTGCCTCCACTTGGCTGTATGGACCATGGAACTAAGTTATTAAACCACGGATCAAGTTATACATTTAAGAATGGCTTAAGAACTCATTTGAGGTTGTAAGAACAGCAATGTTTTGTGTTATCAGGACACACGAAGCTCAATGATAATAGTTTTCTTGGTTTTTCTTTGCAAAAAACTACAGGAAATGGTAAAACAGGCAACAGTTATTACCATGAAGAGCACAGAACATGGGATTAACACTGGGTTCAAATGTTGACTCAACCGCCCCCTAGCTGTGAGAATGTGTTTAAGCCACTTACTTCCTGTCTCTCAAGTGTTGTGAAGATTAACGCAATGATCCCTGCCAGTTCCCGTGCTAGTGAGGTTTGTAAAGGCAGGACCATGTCTTGTGTGAAAGTACACTATAAGTTGAAAACTGCTATCCAAAAACAATGTATTATTTTTAAATAACTAGGAATGTAAGAAACAGAGAAAGAGTTCCAGAGGTCAAAGCACCTGGAACCTAATGGAACAGAGGTCACCAAACAGCTAGATGTCAAAGAGGAGGAGAAATTTAAATACTGTATTTATTTGTATAATGAGGCATACAATGACTTTTGACACTTTAAAAAACTAAAAAATAATCATAACAAAACCAACAACAAAAGAACCACTTTTCCAAAAAGCTTGTGGCATGTTTATTCTTCCTCTAAGGCCTTGCACTCTAATACTTGAGACCCAATGAGACCAGCAGCCCAGGATATTGAGTATCTTCCTGTAGTCATGTACTCTACTCCTCAAATTACTCAGTTCTGTTTGTTCCCACCAGCTGAGCTAATGTTAATGTATTAACAGAACTGGTAGGAAAACTGGTTAGATAAACTAAGGCTGATTTTCATGATAGAACTGACTTATAAAGCTATTACTTAATACACATAAAAACTCATTTTATGTAAAATGTTCTTTTACTAGTTTGAAGCTGTTAAATTAACAGTATTATTAGTAAACACATCATATAGCCCTTACTGTGTAAAGGGCACTGTTCTAAGCTCTTCACATATATTAACTGATTTAATCTTTATACTAATTGTAAAACGTGGGTACTATTATTTCCATTTTACAGGTAGAGAAATTGAAACAGAAGTTGAGTAAGTTGTCCAAGGTCATATAGCTAGTAAGTGGTAGGGTAGGGGATCAAATCCAGCTACTTTGGCTCTGATAGTTATGTGTTTACTCTATAATACTGTCCCCCTTCAAAAATTGAGTTGATCTTATAAAAAAACAATTTTTTTCAAAGGACACTGCTAAGAAATATCTTGGTAGAAATGTCATAAGCCAAATTTCAAAATTATGTATAAAATAGTCTGGTTTTTGTATTCATTCATATTTTTCCCCTTTTACAAATAAAATCCATTATTTCATGCTAAGAAATAAAGAGTTTGGATGCTAGAGTTAGACTACCTCGGTTCACAGTCAGCTCTGCCATTTATTGTGTGATCTTGGGCAAGATACTTAACTTCTCTGTGCTGAAGTCTCCTCATATAAAATGGAAGAACAGGAGGACATAATACATGTAAAGCACTTGCAACAATGCAGTACCGCTTTTAACAGCAGCAATTTCAAAGGTCAAGGTTGACTAAATGTTGAATTACTCTTGGAATGGAAAATAATGAATAGATTGACAAAAAAGTTTTAAGATGAATTTAGTTAAATAGTATTTAACTTCTAGATACCTGTAGGTGTCATCTGGGTATGTTTTGGTTATATAATCTTGGAATTCCACGTATGCCTTCTCCTGAAATTTCTCAATCTGTTCCATGTTTTCTAGGCCTGGATGATCTGAAATATTAAAGAATGTATGTTACCCTAGTTCTGAATGCTCATTTTAAAATGCACCGAGAGTGGAGATGGAAGGCGGATGGGAAGAATAGTTTAGTTAAAAAAGAATCCCCATCATATGTGTGTCTCTTCCATTCCACAATCATATGTGTGTCTCTTCCATTCCACAAATATATTTAGTAGCCTACCTACTAAACACCAAGCACTGTACTTTAAATCTTTAAAACTATTTTATCTCATCTACATATCTCAAAACTGAGACCACTGAGCTCTACTAAAATAAATAGCTTTCTCTATTCCAAAAGTGGTGGAAGGGAGTGTGATCATTTTGCTTTCAAAAGGAACAAAAAATAAAATGACTCAGTTTAGTTAAAAAAGCATTTTTAATACAATAAAATATTTGCAGCTTATGTTTTATACTATGTTTATGAGAAAAACCTCCCCACCATTGCTACATAAAAAGGTACTTATGAAATTATAAAACTGTGAACATTATCTCCATCAGAAAATTTATGATAATGTAGAAATATGAAATAATGTATTTAAATATTTCAATGGTCACTATAAAATTTCACAAAAGTGGAAATATTAAAGGAACTTCATAAAAATTATGCCTAACTTAAGATATATTGAAAAGTATGGAAAGCTCTGTCCTGAAAAGAATAAAAAAGTAATAAATAGAAAATATTGGGAATACATAATACAATTTCATTATAATTCAAACTTCAAATCTATGTTTTTTCAATTTTAATGAAAATGAAGGTGGCAAACGGGTTGTGATAAAAATGGAGATACATGTTATTAACTTATCTGAAACATTATAAGAAACAGCACAAAAAAGCTTTAATTATTTTATTGTTATCACTGAGGGTAAGAAGCAGGTTTCCTCAGGTAATTTTATTACGATGTATAGGAATAGAAATACACACCAAAATAAAAAATATAGAGCTTAAGATAACAGTCAATTTTTCTTATTCAGAAATTTCTCATTGAGCTTACTTGTCATTTTACTATATGTGAAAACTAGAAACTGGCAGGAAAATAAGAGAGACAATTTTCTATTTATTGGTAACTCTAAAAAGATGTTTGAAAATTTAACCCATTAACAAAACAATACTCATCTCTCAATTTGACTTTTAATGATGTCTAGAAAAATATACCTAAGAATTCAAATGTTGATTGACAACAGAACTAAAGGTCTATGATTTCATTTTACTGATTTCTTCAACTTTCCTTTCCGTACCCAGATAAATGTCTAACATCTGTAAAATTCAGCAATTTGAAGTGAATAATTCAATGGTTTTTAATATATTCAGAGTTGTGCAACCATCACCACAGTCTCATTTTAGAATATTTTTGTTACCCCAAAAGAAATTCTGTACCCATTAGTAATCACTCTCCATTCTCCCCTCTCATTAGTCCCTAGGAGCCACTCATCTAATGTCTCTACAAACTTGATTGTTCTAGACATTTCACATAAATGCAATCATAGAATATGTGGTCTTTTGTGACTGGCTTCTTTCACTTGCATACTGTTTTCAAGTTTCATCTATGTTTGTAGCATGTAGCAGAATTTCTCTCCTTTTTATAGCTGAATGATATTCCACTATATGTATATATTACATTTGTTTATCCATTCATTTGTTGATGGACACTTGGGTTGTTTCCACTTTAAGTGCACCATTTTACATTCTTACCAGATGTACAAGGGTTCCAATTTCTCTACACCATCAAATGCTTTATTTTAAATAAAAAGTAAATGTTTACATACCTGGACTGAACAGTACTATTGCCTTCAGGTAGGCATATTCATATCCATCGATGCAGAGTTTAACCATGCTATTACAAAACTCCTGTAGTTTGAAGATGTGCTCCATCAATAATTTTCTTCTTTCTGTGGACATTTTATCTTTAATTAAAAACAAAGAAACAAGCTAACAAAAGCTTCTAGTTTTTGGCTAAAATGCACAACTATTTCTATCCAAAATATTTCCTTCTCACTAATTTCCAGCTTTGAATATAACTAATCCATAAATGTTTAAAATTCAGTATCTCTGCAAGTAAAAATGAAACTAATTAATGATCTTCAGACATTGTTCATTCAAGAAAAAAATGAAACAAGCTGTTAGTATAAAAAAACCCCAAATGTAATGTTTCCTTTCAAAATACACCTTTGAGAAGATAAGCTGTAAAGACAACCACCTAAAAAACTGGTCAACCAAAAGTTTACAAAAAACTCAAATTTTGGTAACAGGATTTAAACTTATATTGGTTGAAAAAAGATGACGAAAATCATTTAGATTTCTAAAAGTTAGGTACACTACTAAAATAGAAAAAAATATTTAGCAAAAAACACTGCCAAGGCAAAAGTTGAGTCAAAGTTTTATGATAACTTTTTGAATTTATTTTTTATGTTTAAAGCACATCTGGGGCCAGCCTTGCGGCATAGTGGTTAGGTTCATGCACTCTGCTTTGGTGGCCTGGGGTTTGCAGGTTCAGATCCTAGGCACAGACCTACATATCACTCATCAAGCCATGCTATGGTGGCATCCCACATACAAAATAGAGGAAGATTGGCAACAGATGTTAGCTCAGGGCCAATCTTCCTCACCAACCAAACAAAAACCACATTTGATGAGTCAACCAAAGCTTTAAGTGAAGGCAGGCTGTAGAATACATTACAAATTTATGAGAAATCAATCAAGACTAGGAGTCCCTAAATAAGATGGGTATGTAGTGCTCCCTTCTAGTAGGTCTACTGTTGATGAGATTTTAAGGTGATTTCTCTGTTCTTAAATAGGAGGAAGCAGATAACTTAAAAATAATGTAAAACAATGGCAAATTGAATATGCTAAGGCAATAAAACGTAATTCCCAATTTATAAATTATTTCTGAACTCAAAAGGCAGTTCTCATTTGAAGATGCACATCCTTTTGGTTAGTCACAAGCCATTCTGAAGTTAAACAGTTATAAATCAGTAACTGCCTGTCTCCTCAAATAAATAAGAGCTGTAATCACCTTGGTATCAAGAAAAAGAAAAGGAGAGTAAGGACTGTTCTGTGACTCTCCAATACTGTTCAAGTGAGAGAATACATCCTGATGAATTGAATAAAAAAAAAAAAATCAGCCTATCTTGGGATTCAAAGGGCTACAATGAAGAAAGACAGTTTAAAAATTAGTGGGAAGTATATATTCATAAAGATTTGATCACCTCTATATATGTTAACCCTGGATTCTTTGGTACTTATGCCAAAGTGCAAAAATTCACAAGGCCTTGTCAGAAACAGCCTGCCAGATGTAAAGATACTTGTGTTAATTTGGTTATACTCTCATTTAAAAATATTTTGGGGTGATTAAAGAATGAATTTATCAAAATGTGAAAATTACCTAAAGTAAAAAGGGTGTTGGTAGCTAAAACATTAATGATCAGATATCTAACTTAAATCATAACACTTTATAAAACTGATCCCCATCTTATATCCTGGAAAAGGAAATTAAGAAGGTGCTTTTTTTACCTTGTTGAAGGCTACTGTGAAGACAATTGACAAATGTTGCTAATATAGTTGCCACATTCATCACTTGCCAGCATTGGGCAAGACCAAGAGTAAAAAGCTCATTCCAATAAGCTTTTACCAATGATATGCTGTTTTCTTGCCTATTAAAACAAAACAAACATGTCACAGATTATTAACATATATTTTATAAAATTTACAATTGAGTCAGATATTTAAAAATAAAATATTACTGAACTAAAATTATTCTAGAAAGACCAACTGGGCTTGGGCTTGATCAATTCTGTGTTTTGTATAGCTGATAGCAATTGATAAGAAAGGCTTAGAAATTTAAATATTAGCTAGCTCATTAATCAATCAGCCAGTTTATAAGAACAGTTCCAAGTAGTATTTCACACTATAAGTTGGGGCTTTAATCCCACATTTCATGGAAACAGATGAAATAAAGACTGTTTTACAAGCTGGTCTTGTGGCCAAATGGTTGAATGTCTCACACTGTGCTTCAGCAGCCCAGGTTTCACCAGTTTGAATCCTGGGTGCGGACATGGTGCCGCTCGTCAAGCCACGCTGAGGCGGCATCCCACATGCCACAAGAAGAAGGATCCACAACTAAAAATACACAACTACATACTGGGAGGCTTTGGGAGAAAAAGAAAAAATAAAATCTTAAAAAAAAAAAAGATTGTTTTAAAAAAGTTAAAAGTAAAGGAATACATTTAAAAAGCTTTCCCAAGTTTTCTTTTGCTTTAAATGCAGGTAAATATTTTTTTAGAAAGGGTAATTAACATTGTTTGATGGTGGGTAAGCAACCAATTTCCTGGGAGAAATGGTTTACTCTATAACTATGTTACAGATGGGATATTAGTATCCATATAAATGAGATAACAAAGATTTCACTAGGATTAACAAAAATAAGAAAGTTTAGAAGTCCTTTCCTGAACTTCTGAATAAGAAATCTCAGCAGCATGAGAGAGCAGAAAAAGTATTAGAATAGAAGCCAAGACACCAGGGATTTTAAACCCCTATCATCCACTTATTTTCCATTTGAAATTAGGCAAATAAGCTTCTCAGGTCTCAAGTGCGTAGCCATATAAAATGCAGAAAAGCATTACACCCTATATCTTGCTCAGAGTTATTATGAGACTCAAATATAAGAATTATGTGAACAAGTTATAACATAAAGTATATGCCAGGCACTGGAGAAATAGCAATAAACAAGATAGATTAAATGCCTTCATGAAACAGAAGACAAACATAAACAAATACATCACTTGGAATATTTTATATAAACATTATGCACACAAATGCATATGATTATACAAACATTAAGTTAGTTTCAATTAATAAAAGTTCCACAATATTAAGTAGGATGATGAATTACATAATGGGAGGGGGGGCAGAGGTGGGAGTAAGGTGTCTGGAGAAGACCTTTCTGAGGGGCTGACAGGTGAATAGAAAAAAGATGGGAAAGAACCTAAAAAAAAAAAAAAGATCTAGGAGAATAGTATTCCAGGAAGAGTAAGAATAAGGGCAAACCTGCTGAGGTGAGAACCAGCACAGAGCACATGTTCAATAAAAACTGTTGAATGAATTACAAATGCTGTCCTCCTTTTTTGGAATGTCTTTTCCTGACCTTGTTTTACTAGTTAATTCCTATTTACCCCTTAAAATATATTTCGGAGCTCAATTTTTTGAAGAAAAATTCTCTTACCACATTCCTCTCCCAAGATAGTTAATCATACCCCCTTCAGTGCCACATATACGTTTCTATTTTATACTTATTAAATGGTATTCTGATTTATTGGTTTAGGAGTATGTCTCCTGTACTAGATTAAACCCTCACTGAAGGCAGAGACTTCCTTATTCATTTATGTATCTCAGTGAACAGCACAGTAGCAGGAATACAGAAGGAATCCAGTAAGTGATTTCTGATAGCGAAGGTAATAGAACAGGCGGAAGTTAGAACTTAGAAAAGAGAGAATGAGAAAAGCTGTGGGCACAGAACCTTTTCCAATTAAACAATCTTTAAAACAAAACCTATATACTTTATTATAAATAAGATAATGAAAGTATAAGATTTTTTCCCCTTTCTTCAAAAAGATTTAAGTTGGTAAGAACATCCTGATGAAAGGCACTTAAATGTTTTTCTCCCTAATAAATATTTAAAATTGGGATAATCAGTATGTTTAACAGAAGTCATTCATCAAGTTAAGAATCATAGCCTTTTTTTTTTTTTTTTTTTTTTTTTTTACAAACACTGCATTTTATTTAAGTATTGAGGAGAGTGATGTCAGTCATGGTGGAGTGAGGTGAGGTGTTCTCTTAGTCTCTCCCCTAAAGGGACATTCATTTACCAGCAGAGGATACCCTGCACAGCACAACCAGAGGTCTGAGAGATCCATGCGGCTATACATCTGAAGGTGAGTAGACTGGATACCTGGTAGGCTGTGGAACTAGGTGTGTGCACCCCTCTGCCTCCCCCTCCCTAGCAGGAGTGAGCCAGTTCGTGGATCTTAATGCAGCAGCTGATGCGACTGTAAAATGAGGCGGGGACATCCTGGCCTGTGCAAACAATTTCAGAGTTGCAGCTTAGCCCATGGGGGTGTCCATCGTGCCACGGCAGCCCTGCCAGTGGGAATGCTCTACACCAAGTACTGGCTCAGCACCCATGTAGGCACCCCTCTTGCCTAGTGTGCAACAGCTCAGCCGGTCCCCAGCTGAGCACAGAGGCCCCAGCTGCCTCAACCTGCCTGCCCAGTGCAGATGCCCTGCCCCCGTAAGCACAACCTGCACAGTGGCTGGGATCAGTCTGGGCAAATGCAGAGTAGCCCTACTCGCACAACTTCCAGCAAACAGGGGCAGCTCAGAAAACAGAGCTTCTGCCATCCCCTCAGTGGTGGCAGGTAGAATCTGCAACCTGATACTACCACAAATGTGCCGACAAAGGATGGATTCATCAAACACCATGAAGAACTACAGTAACACTTCAGAGCAGAAGGAAAAAGGCCAGTCTCCAGAAACCAATACTGAAGTCGCAGAAATTTACAATATAAATGACAGAGAATTTAAAATAGCTGTCATAAGGAAACTCAGAGAGTTACAAGAAAACTCAGAAAGACAGTGCAATGAGTTCAGGAACAAAATCAATGAATAGAAGGAATACTTCACCAGAGATCAAAACTATACCAAAACAAAACAAAACAAACCAAAGAGAAATGCTGTATATGAAGAAAACAATAACATACAAAAATAATCTAGAAACCATTAAAAAAATACAGCTGATGCTATGGAGGACAGAATTAGTGAACTAGAGGACAGAAATATGGAAATACTTCAGGTAGAGGAGGAGAGAGAACTAAGGTTTTTTAAAAATGAAGAAATCCATCAAGAAATATCTGACTCAATTAGGAAAAGCAATATAAGGATTATAGGTATTCCAGAGTGAGAAGAGAATGAGAAAGGAGCAGAGAGCTTGTTGAAAGAAATAATAGCTGAGAACTTCCCAAACCTGGGGAAGAAACTAGATTTACAAGCACATGAAACCAAGAGAACTCCTAATTACCTCAATGCAAAAAAACCTTCTCCAAAGCATATAATATTAAAACTGGCAAAAGAGAATGACAAGGAAAAAACATTAAGGGCAGCAAGGCAGAAGAAAATAACCAACAAAGGAACCCTATCAGGCTTTCAGCAGATTTCTTGGCAGAAACCTTACAGGTTAGAAAAGACTAGAATGGTATATTCAAAATACTGAAAGACAGAAACTTTCAGCCAAGAATACTCTATCCAGCAAAACTATCCTTCAGCTACAATGGAGAAATAAAAGCTTTCCTGGATAAACAAAAGCTGAGGGAGTTCATCGCCACCAGATCCCCCTTACAAGAAATGATGAAGGAAGCCCTTCCACCTGAAAGAAAAAGCCAAAGGTTTAGAAAGCCTTGTGCAAGGAGATAAACAGACAGACAAAATAAGAAAACGGCAGGATTCTATCATAACAGGTTAGGAAACACTTCATTATAACATAAAAGATAAAGGGAAGGAAGGCATCAAAAATAACTTAAACATTTCAATTTAGTCATAAACTCACAACACAAAAAAGAATTTGTGACAACAGTAACTCAGAAGGAGAAGAGGAAAGGGATGGAACGTGCTTAGGCAAATGGACATAAGATGTTATTAGAAAATGGACTACTTCATCTATAAGAGCTTTTACACAAACCTCATGGTAACCACTAAACGAAGAATCAGAATAGAGCCACAAATCATAAATAGAAAACTATCAGAAAAAACCACCAAACTGAAATGGCAGTCAGAAAAGCAAGGGAAGAGAAACAATGGAAATATAGAATAATTGGAAAACAAGAGATACAATGGCAGTAGTAAGCCATCATATATCAGTAATCACTCTAAATGTAAATACATTGAATTCTCAAATCAAAACAGACAGAGAGGCTGGATGGATTAAAAAACAAGACCCAAGAATATGCTGGCTCCAGGAAACACATCTCAGCTCAAAAGAAAAACACAGGCTCAGAGTGAAAGGATGGAAACCACAGAAATAGAAAGAACTAGGACAATACTATGAAAAACTATACGCCAACAAATTGGACAATCTAGAAGAAATGGATAAATTCTTAGACTCATACAACCTCCCAAAACTAAATCAAGAAGCAACAGAAAATCTGAATAGACCAATCACACGTAAAGACATTAAAACAGTAATCAAAAACCTTCCAAAAAACAAAAGCCCAGGACCAGATGTCTTCTCTGGCAAATTCTACCAAACATTCAAAGATTTAACAGCTATCCTTCTCAAACTATTCCAAAAAATGAAGAAGACGGTACGCTTTCTAACACATTCTAGGAGGGCAATATCACCCTGATACCAAAACCAGACAAGGACAACACAAAGAAGGAAAATGACAGGCAAATATCACTGATGAACATACACGCAAAAATCCTCAACAAAGTATTGGCAAACTCAATACAGCAATACATTAAAAGGATCATACACCATGAGCAAATGGGATTTATACCAGGGACACAAGGATGGTTCAACATCCGCAAATCAATCAATGTGATACACCACATTAACAAAATGAGGAATAAAAACCACATGATCATCTCAATAGATGCAGAGAAA